AGCTTTTAATACTTAGCTCATCAGATCAAAATTACAAATATACCAGTTGTAATTTTACAAAATAGTTTAAATTTGTCATACACATGTTGAAAACATATTGTAAAATCATACAATTTGAAATTTCGATCTGATGAGATAAGTATTAAAAACTTGCTGAACTAAATTATAATTTATAATCGTTTTCGACGATGCATTAAGTTGTGATGTATATCATATTAGTCTGTATAATATACATTGATCTCTCTTTGTCGATCTATCTTTTTAATATTTTATATCAAAAAGACCTACTTGGATTATCCTTTCTACCTACGGATTATATATATATATATATATATATATATATATATATATATATATATATATTGTCGCTCACCGTTTGATACAACACTAAGTATCATGCTGCATGAAACTCGGGAATCAACGTCCGCATGTCCGTAAACCAAGGCAAACTTTCAAATCGGAGGAGATTGGCTGTGTTCTGACATGAAGATGGATGATATCCGTCAGGTTTACGTATGGAAGTTAAATTGAGTAGAGATGGAATGTAAGTTAGGTGTTCTGCTGCACAACAACCCTACGATCACATCCAGTCATAGAACTGATGTTGATAATAATAACTAGATCATCCATAAATCTGTTGAGTTTCTTTTAAAAGCAGTTCATGATATAAAATGATGAGCTAAATATATGACTAACTATATTATTAGTTACACATATTTTAATTTGTATTTGCAATCTTGTAAAAATTATTATTATTCACATTATACAATATTACTTAGAACAAATTAATAAGAAGTTTACATTTTTTTTACACACGAATTGCAAACTGATATCACACTAAATGCCTTTCTATTCAAGTAATAAAGGATGTTCCAATAACTTGGACCGATTTTAAATGTTAATTAAGTTTAAGCATCTAATGCTTAAGTCTTTGGTAATTTCAACCATGGAAAGATTAATGATATAATGGAATATGCATACACCTGTGTTCCCCCTCACTGGAGCGTGATTGGCTGGTGTCAGAAATATCGACGGACGTGTAGGTACGACAGAGTCAAGAGCCTTAGTCTGAGAGCTAAGTCTATAACAACGCCCATTGGACTACACCATTGATCTACACTTCTTAGCTGCGACTACGATGCGTACCAGTCGATTACTGCTACCGTATTCTATTTGGTTATAGTAGCCAAAAACGCTTAGCTACTTCGTTCAAATATATCCCTTTCCGGGACATATCAATTAACAATCAAACAACGTGTTAAAGTTATCGAAGTCTATTATTATAATGTTTGTTCAAACAGAAGTTCCCAGGTCGCATCATCTCTCGAAACAGCAAAGTCAATTGGCCACCACGATCGTGCGACTTGACGCCTTTAGATCTTTTCCTTTGGGGTCATCTCAAAAGGAAGGTCTATGCCAACAAACCAAAAATAATTGAACAGATGAAGGATGAAATAATAAGGAATATTGGTGAGATCGAGGAGCAACTATGCAGAGACGTCATCAAATATTTTGACCATCGAGTGGAGGTGTGACGTCGAAGCCTTCGCGAACATTTGGGCGATATTATTTTTCACACATAATTGCCATGACTTAAATCACATGATCCAATAGAGAAATAATTAAATTTGCACCAATAACACTTATTTATTTATTGCTGACTTTGATTCGTTTTAATGAAATAACCTTTAGTAGCTTCAGGGTGACAATTTACCAATTTTAGTATTTACCATAATATAATTTTTAGTAGTGAAGGTAACTAAAATATTTGCCAAAAATCAAAGAATTTTAAGGACTTATTAATTAATGAATGACTATTTTACTGAATATGTAATTTTATTAAAATCTTTAGTGATATATTTTTGGTGGCATTTTTCACATTCCCTTTCAGATATTGCTTGGATACTTTTTAATTTGATGTGTACTCGTCCTAAGTTTTGACAGTTTTATAAAAAAAAAATCTCTAAAGATATTATTTCAGTAAATAAAATTACGCAGTATCGAGTCTAAACAGAAAAAATGTCCCTTGCTCAAGAACCACTTGTCTAATTTTAATGAAATTTGGCACTGCACTCCACAGGTGTTCAAGGTACAATGTGTTCCTAAATTAGAGTATCATGTATGGTTTAAGCTGTGTCTCGGGAACACACATAGATATATACATAGAAGATTAGAATTTTAGTATTATATAGATAATAATTTGAATGAAACTGTGTCTTTTATTAGGCTAGCAGAATGTCTGCCAAAAAGCACTCAAAAGAAAACTAGAGCTATAATATTCAATAAATTAAGAAAAGATTAAATGACTTATCAAACTAACCAGATAAGTCACTTGAATATATATATATATATATATATATATATATATATATATATATATATATAAGGTAATTTTGAAAAGTTATTTTGACATGTTTCGCTGATTAATCAGTAAAAAATATGTTTCGACAAAATCTTACCGAGTTAAAACGTGATTCAATGTAATCAAGTAATTCTCTTGATTTTTACTTTAATTATGTGGTTATAGAAATTAGACTTTAAATAATTTTCAGTCACTTTTAATTTTTATTTCTTCATTTTAAGGTTTACGTATTCAACGTTTAAAGTAAAAATTCAGTCTGCTTATCGTGTATTAATTTTTTCTTTAGCTCCTGTAGATTTTGTGAAGGTATTTTTTCTGATGCCTCCAATTCATTGGCAAAACATGTCAAAATAGAAGTTTTCAAAATTCTCTTATATACTTATTATTCCATCACATTCTAACCAAGTGTGTGTGTGTGTGTGTGTGCGTGTGTGTGTGTGTGTGTGTGTGTGCGTGCGTGTGTGTGTGTGTGTGTGTGTGTGTGCATAGTTCCGAATAAAAGTTTTTGTATTCTCCAGTATCTCATTTTTTTAATGATGTCACGTCATATTTTGTTTAAAAATTATACTAGCGGTAGATGTTAGAACAAATTTACGTGGGTGCTTATTCTGTTTGTGTGTGTGTGTGCGTGTGCGTGTTTGTGCATGGGCATATGGAACAACACTGGACGGTCAGTCTTATTCTCTAGTGTGATCATTAGACTATATATATATATATATATATATATATATATATATATATATATATATATATATATAGATAGAGAGAGAGAGAGAATATTAGTGGTAAATATACACATACATATGCAAAATATATAAATATATATACATATAAATATATATACATATATATGATTCAATTCATCAGACCTACAAAGGTCTGATGAATTGATCGTATTTACGATTCCAATGGAACAAATTATGACCATGGAATATTCGTGTTTAAGCCTTTTTTATATATATATATATATATATATATATATATATATATATATATATATATATATATATGAAGAAATATAGTCTTAGGGTGTGCTATATTCATGGGATAAAGTGCTCAATATCAGAGATAGAGCGTGTGTAAATATAAAAGTGAACATTTAAGTCAACACCTAGAGGCGACAGTCTGTTTCATGCTAGACGCAATCGTCAGGCAAATCTTTAATGTTCACTTTGATATATATATATATATATTTGTGTGTGTGTGTGTCCTCCGACAGGAATCGAACGCGTATGCTACACGGACCCGTCATATAGCCTGACGTGCTATACCATTTAGCTACAGACGAAGCGTCTGGTTAGCAAGCTCGAATTACTGCTTTTAAACAACAAATTTCCTTTGATTTCTCTCATATCTGTTCGAAGTGTATCTTTACGTAAACAAATGGTATCATATATTTTGAAATAGACTAATATATTAATATTAATATATTTTTCTGCTCATACGATATTTTTATAGATCCAAATATTTAAGTAAATGCTCTGCTTTATAATAAACAGTATTAGCAACATTTACCGGCCTGAATGCCCGAGAGATATATATATATATATATATATATATATATATATATATATATATATATTATGAAATGGATTAAGTCCGACAATTATTTTAATATATTTTTCGTTTACCCGTTATTTTTATGGATATAATTTAAGGAAATGATCTGTTATTTAATTAAACAGTATTAATTACATTTACCGACCTGAAAACTTAAAAAAACTTAAAAGAACTTAACAGATCTCAAAAAATAAGATAAGTTTTTTGTATCTGCCTCATCAGAGCGAAATTACAAAATGGTTTAAATTTATCCACTATGTTATATATATATATATATGTATATATATATATATATATATATATATATATATATATATATATATATATATATGGACTGGGTTCTATAGCCTTGGATGGCAACTGGTCTAGGAGAAGGACAACTCTGAATTCAAAACCTGCGGAGGGTCGTTTGGGAACCTTGTGGCATTCGGTGCACCAGGTCTCTGTATTCGTCCCTCCAAAAAGTGTGGATGGTCCTGCACGAGGCCTTCAACACTTTAATCAAATCTCATGTGCCGGTGCCGTGCTGTCGGTTTCCTGGAAACTGATCTGCTTGATCCTCATACGTCGAATGTCGACGGGAGAGTCGATCATATATATATATATATATATATATATATATATATATATATCACACGAGAACAAGAAGTGAAGTCTAAACCGCTTGACCTAGAAAATTTTATCCGTGGATTTATATTATTGGATTATTCTTTCCACTTACGAATTTGATATCTATCTATCTATCTATCTATCTATCTATCTATCTATCTATCTATCTATCTATGTGTGTGTGTGTGTTTGCGCCCTCGCGCGTGCATATTGTATTTTTATTTTTTTAATTTTTATTTTTTTCTTACGAGTATTTCACGACTGAACGAGATCTTCAGACCAATGTTTAAGAATCGCGTTGAGGCGTGAAACTGACAGTCACCATGCACTGTTGATTCAGATGTCCACACTCTGTATCCATAAATGATCAGTCTACGATGCTGAGCACTCTTCCCCCGATGAATATAGCAAGATTAAAACAACATATATCAAAAGAGTCCCTTTTACCGTCACGTCATGCCCTTTGTCG